CTCTCATCATCCTAAAGTCGTCGCGCCACTACCACCATCTCCACCGAATTCATTATTGTAAATTTCTAACAACTCTCATGTAAAAAGTTTGAAAAAGAAAACAATCAAATCCACCATCTCCATCCATCTTCAATCACCAAAAAATAATCTGAATCAAATTTGAATAATCAATTTGGGTTCAAATGCAGTTGAACCCTTAAAAAGAAAAAATATTTTTTACTTGTAGATCATAATCCCTCATGGTTTTTTAGTTTGTTTTCTAAATTCTCCGACAAGCAATTACCTTCTCTTGATTATAAAAAAAAAAAACCCATCACACAGACTTATAAAATTGTGGCAATACTCACGAACATTAACCGGAGTCTCTTCACCTGATTAAGCTTTTTTTTCCTTTGGTGGTAGGCTTAGATTAGACTCATAGTCTCTTTTTCGAGCTTTATTCTTTGAAAGAAGTGGTGGGGAGCTCTTTGAGTAGGTGGAGGAGCTAATGGTGAAGGCGCATGGAGAAATGACAAAGGCATAGGTGGAGATAGTTATGGCAGCGAAATTCTCAAACTATGTCGGTGGCGGCGACATATCCCTCAGGAGAAGACAAAATAAAAAGACCCCCAATTTGACCCTCAATATTTTTTCCAAATCAAAGTTCCCACAAAATAATTAGGGCAAAAAAATGAATGAAGAAGAAAGAGAAAAAACGTCTTTTAAAAAAAAGATCAATAGTTGAAATACACATGTCAAGCGCGTGTATTTCACCACAAGACACATATCTGGTTATAGTGTTTTAAGGGGCTACTTATTTCATTTTAAAATAATTTGGAAGGCGGAGGGTAATAGGACCCCCGTAAAGTATGAGTGTGTAATTGAGAATATGGTTATAGGTTAGGGGGGCTTTTGGACATTTTCTCTTAATGAAAATGTTTTTTTTTAAATAAAAAAAAACTTAAAGTGATTTTTGGGCGCAAGGGGGTTATTAGCCCCCACAATTTTATTCTACTAATTTGTTTGTGTTTCATCTTGAAATTTTCTTTTAGTCCTTAGAAACTTTCATTTTTCTCATTCCTTGATGACTTGAACTCATAATAGAATTAGAGGTGGAAGGTGCTTGCTATTTGAGCAACCCCTATTAATTTGTAATTTTCATCTTTAGTGAATTTTAGCGCTCACTATTTTTATTTATTTTATAGAATTGATTTTTTAATTACCAAAAAACAACTTCTTGAGCCAACTTTTTTCTAATATAAATTTGAATATGTTTAACACTACAACCAAATTATCATAATTAAGAAATATTAACGTTCCATTAAACATACAAAATATTAAGAGGAAGTAGCATCATGTCATCAAACTAAATTCATCACAAATCATTCATATTAATCAACTAATCATATTATCATAATACATCAATTAAAAGAAATCTTAATGATTGTCATTGGAATTGCTAGAGCTAATTAAAAGATCTTGTTGCATCGTCTTCACTTGGCGGCAATTATATAAACCTATTTGTGAAGTATACAGTCAGAATTAAAATGTATACTCAAGGTGTGTTCCTATGATGGAAGATATTTTTGATGATTTTTTTTTTCTAGGAGAATAAATGGATTCTTAGTTATATTGTTGTGTTCGGTATACAAATAAAAAATATTATTCTAAAAGTATTTGTATATAATCTAGACAATACTATGGAAAGTGGAGGTGGAGGCGGAGGTAATAGTGTGAGGTGGAGATGATGTATGTTGGAAGATGGGGAGAATACTATCGTTTGGTAGAGTGTATTAGCAAGAATAATGCATGCATTAATATATGTATTAGTAATCCCTTGTTTGTGCATATTTTCATGGTATGTATAACTAATACTTGCATTAGTTATACACTCTATTGTGTATTGAGGAGTGTATTACTAATACCTAGAAATCCATGGTATTAGTAATGCAAAGGATTTAATGCATGCATTAATATGGTTAAAGACTCAATTACCCCTTTTACATCTTTTCCACCATAATTGTGAATGATACTTTTGTTAATAAATATTTTTATACAATGCATACTATTTTTAATACACCAAACCAAACAATGCATTAATAATCTATTCATAACTAATACAAGTATAACTAATACATGCATTACTAATATACTCTATTGAATATTATTTTTATACACTGTACCAAATACACTATATTATTTTTGTATAACTTGTTTTTCATATTTTTCATTAGAGAAGAAGTATTTTTTTCTTAATTTTAAGAAATTTACTTTCTAGAGAAAATATTTTTAATTTTTTTTTTTGATCAACTGAACCTGAGAAAGTCATTGAAAATATTTCCTCCGTTTCCAAAGACAACATCTTGAGACAATGTACCTAATCAAGAAAATTTTGAGTCAACACTATACCAACATGAGAAAATACATAACAAGATGTCCATTGGATCCTAAGTGCATACTTATCTATTATTGTTTTGACTAAATATCTTATTCATCCCATCACATCAATTTGAAGTCATCTAGTGTCCTTGTGTAATCAAACTTTAATTGAAAATTATTCTTGTTTTCATGGAAAGATGAACATAGCCTCAATCAATGCCGTGATTTGTTCCATCAATTACTATAATTTTATTGGCTCCAATGATTTCACTTTTTCAATAACCTTCAAAGTGACACTTGTCTTGGGGTAACATAACAGCTACCATAATGCATTATTTGGAAGTTTGAAAAGGCTCATAAATATATCCCTCTCTAGTGAAAAAAGATTTATAAATATTCTTGTTTCACATTTTGGTTTAAATAGATATCCCTAATTTATTTTTTTGACTCAAGAATACTTCTAATTTATTGAAAATGACTCAAAAATATCCTTCATTCTTCAACTTTTTAATTTAAAATACTCCCAATCTTTGTTTTTTGTTCAAAAACACCCCCTTTCACCTTTTAGTTTAAAAATATCATTAGCCTTTGTTATTTATTTATATATCTAATATTTATGATTTTAATATCAGTTAAACTTTTACCATATAAAAATTTGTAATTTTGTTATTTTAACTAGATGATTTTTTTTTCTTTAAACTGTTTATGCTTGAAATCTTTAGTTGAAGATAATCTTGTAAAGAGCATTACTAGACTGGTTGTCATATTTTCTCTCGACCCTCAAGACGAGGGTTTAATTGTAAGAAGAACATATCTTTAAAAAAATATTTTCTTTCTCTTGAGTTTAACTAATAGTTCCTATAGCTCTTATAACATTGTCAGAACTCAACACAACTCAAATTCTAATTTATTCCCTTAAATTTATCATTATAATTTATTAAAAATTATCAATACAAGAATGTATCATTAGCGTTATCATAAGCAAACATAACACGAGATCAACATATGATGCAACAAATGTTCTCAAAGTATCATTACCGATCATTATGTTAGTAAAATGTAGAGTTGTTTATATCACTTTTTTATTTAGTATTATTTCTAGAAAGGTGGTTATACCCTATGATTAGGTAATGAAGTAATCAATATATAGCTATATTTTTTAAGTGTGATAAAAATCGTCAAGTCTATGAATATATTAATTTGCCAAATTATTTCCTTTATTCTGCACTCCATTATTATAAACTTTGATAAGATAACAAATTTATTTTTTATTTCAAATATAGTTACACTTATATATTTTGAATATTTTAGAACGAGCTAATATTTAGAATTTTAATAAATAAAAAATTATTTTTTCGAACAAAATAAAATCATTAACTAATTAGTAAAAGAATTTAATTCAATTAAATTTGGTTGATCATGAAATGAAGGTTTTTCTTGAACCTAAAACACTGGTTAAGGGTATTTTTAGACAAAAAGGTGGAAGAGAAATATTTTTGAGTCATTTTCAATAAGTTAGGGGTATTCTTGAGCCAAAAAAAAATAGGTTGAGGGTATTTTGAAATCAAAAGGTAGATGAAGAGTATTTATGAGTCTTCCCTATAGATGAGGGATATTTATGAGCCTTTTCTAATTAAATAATTTTAAAAAATAGTTTTTCTTTCGAAATTTATGTGACCAAGTTGATCGCTTAAGAAAACAATTAGTAATTAAAAAAGTAATCAATCTCTTTGAAACGTCTTAAACGATATGTCGATAATTTAATTGAAAGGCAAGAAAATTAAACGTGATTCGAAATAACTAAATTTCCTCTTTCTCAATTTATACGACACTTTTTAAATTTTGAGATTCAACAAATTTTCCTGTGACCCCTAATTTTTTAATATGTCTCTTAGAATTTGAATTGTCATTTATGAGACTTATAATAATACTTTTTATGTAATTTTCAAATATATGAAGTTTTGCCAAAAATATTAAAAAATTATATATCTGAGCAGTGACATACATTTAACTATCAGAGGTGATTGAAGTCCATTAATCATATGTCAAACGTATTCTACTGAGAATGTATGTAAGTTCATCCAAAAATGTATACTAGTTCATCCTTTACTATACTATTTCTTTATGATTCTCATACAACTTACTAATGTCAGCCTCTGCGGTATTTCCTGAAAAGGTTTAAACACTATGAATAAAAAAAAATGACGAATATCCCTAATTTCTTGATGCTCTACATAGCTAAATAGATAGTTATGTCTAACTATAGCCCCGTTTTAACATTTCAAATGATGTCGATTATAAATTTGGAGTTTTCGAAGTCAAGTCAACAAGCAACACAAGTTCATAAAATTTAATGACATGTGTTCTTCCGTTAGTCCAAAAAATATATACATTTCAAATTAGACAATAAAGACATTAATATATTTATTCTTCTATCGTTCTTTTTAAAACAAACTAAAAGAGAAAACCGGTTATTTTTTGTTAAATGGAAGGAAAGAGTATAATAGTAGTAGAGTGATACTAAAAGTTAGTGACAAATATGTTCTTAATTTTGTTACTAATACATACGTAGGACTACTTTATAAGTTTTCATACAAACACTTGATAACTTTTTCCCTTGTTCCTTTGATGAGAAGCAAACTCTCCCTTTTATCCCCCAGTATTTAGAGAGAGAAAGTGTTGTGAGGATAAGCCAAAGCTAAAGCTATAGAAAAAATGGATCAAATTTTACACAACTCCCTCCTCCTTATCGTCATCATCATCGTCTCCATGTTTTCCCCCAAATTACACGGCAGAGAACTCCGTCCATCGGAGCACGGCTTACCATATCAACACTCGTCATACCCAACTGCAAAATCCACCGATCCAGAATTGCATTCATTCTTCGCCGGCACCGGAGAGAAAACGCCGTCTTCGTTACCGGAGGCTAGGAATTTGACGTGGTGGAATAATTCCGGCGATCAAATGTCACGTGACAGCAACCGTAAAGATCACGTGAGAGAAGTCCTATTGGTTTCCAGCTTGGTTTGTGGAGCAGCCGGCGTCGTTTTGCTCGCCGTTTCGGCGGTTGTTTTCGTCGTTAGGCTACGAAGGAGAAATCAAAGAGAAACCTCATTGTCAACGTTAGGGTCAACGTCAGTGCCTAACGTCGTTAATAAATGATGAAGTAAAAGTATAGTGATTATTATAATAATAATGTCACGATAAGGATAAGGGTTTAATTCCACTTAATCCGCTTTCATTTTGATTTATGTGTACATAATAATTCATCATTTAATTATTGAGATGAGTGAGATATACTTTTTCCCTCTTCTTTTTATTTCTCTCTTTCAGAAAATTAATTAGTTGTCAATGGCCCTATAAGGGTTACTCTTGTAGTTTGTTCTTCATAAGAATTTTTTTATGAAAATAACTTTCAATTTTTGGACACCCTTAATTAAATTTTTGACTCCGCCACTAAAATAAGTTACACTCCATGGGCAAGAGATCTTGATTTATGAGATACCAAATAATTATTACCTTAGAGGCAAGACTTATTAGCCCAGGACTTCCAAACAACAAGTTATGCTCCATGGACAAGACTTAACACTATCATATTGTATCTTAATTTATGAGATGCACTATAATTCTTGCCTTAGAGGCAAAACATAGCCCAGTGACTTTCAAATAACAAGGTGTGCCTCATGAACAACTGTTTACACCATCCTCACTAAGTCTAACTTATGGAGAACACAACAATTGTTGTGTTAGAGCAAAACGTAGATTGGAGATTTTCTTAAAAAAGAACATATGCATTATGAACAACAATTTACACTATTTCACCATGTCTAACTTATGAGATACTTTATAACTTTTGTCTTAGATGCAACACATACTTCAGAGCTTAAAAAATAATTTATGCCTCATGAGCAACACTATTTTAAAACTACAATATCCTTCCCCATAGATTATTACTCAGTCAGTTAGATGCTAACATATACTACTTTTCTTACATTAAATATATGATCAATTTTGATTACAGATGTTGTTGACTAACTTGAAAGTAAAACTCTTTAAGTTCATTTACATGTCAAAAAAAAAGGATGATCATATTTGCGGATTACTCAACTTTCGATTCATTAGTAAAATAATGAGAGTTATGAAAAAAGAAAGAAAAATAAAGAAAGGGAGAAAAAATATAAAAATTGAGAAAAAAGAAAAGAAAAAATAATTAATTAATTAAAACCACTCACTTTGGGGGACTAATTTTCTACCTATATGCTGTGACAGTCCAAAAGCTCTTTTTTTTTCTCTTTTTAATTTTTAAGTATTCAGTATTCGAAACTCACTGTTCTCACTAATGAATAGGAATCTCAGTCATTCCACCACACTTCTCGAAAGCATAGATTTGGCCAATATGATTTAGTCCATGTGCATAATTTAGGGAAGAAAAACACCTGAGTGTGCAAGAGAGAATACAACAGCATGTATTATCCAATATTTCTGATTCAAAAGTTCATACATGTGATTATTTCAAAAACACAAATGGGAGGGTAAGTAGCAAAAAATTCTAAAATCTTATATACACCTATTGGTCAAGAGGGATCCACTCTAATTCTAATTCAAGATCTCCAGATTCAACATTTTGTAGCTTAAGATTTACTTCTTGTTTCACCTTCCCATCCACGATGTTTACAGTGCTATCATCCAGCAGGGCATTATCATTTGATTTTAGCCACTTTCCAATCTGCATGTTACCAAACATTCCAGCATCCCCAAATGCCATGGCAGATGTTATCATAGGCTGGATGTCTATCTCGGCCTCCCCCATTATATCATCAGCAGAGAATGTATCATGATCGTATACTTGCTGCAGTTCAAAGTAAAAAGAAAGATGAGAGTAATGGTGAACAATGGATAACAAAATGAATGCAAAATAAAGAGTAAGGAAATAATATTGCCACAAACAAAAGGTGCATTTACAGTAAATAGTTCCAGAATTTCACAAGTCTCGGTTATCTGACATGCATCAAGGGAATGCATTGGCATAAAGATACCGGACAGAAAAAGAAGGGTTATTTGTACAATACATGTTATTTTTAATACACCAAACCAAACAATGCATAAGAAATAATATATTGTATAACTAATGCAAGCATAACTAATACAAACATTACTAATGCAAGCATTACTAATACACTTTGTTTAGCATTATTTGTATACACTCTACTAAACGACCCCTTACTGATTTACCTCACTTTTTGAAACCCCAAATGCTAGTCCTAAGAAGCTCATTTAAAGAGGCATAGGCCATAGAATCCAATAGTACACATAATTCGGAAAGCAACATAGGGCTTGATTGAAATATTTTGAGCAACCAAGCAACATTTTTCCTAGAAAGAATGAATAAGATCAAGCAATGGCTGAGACTGTGACAAAGATGATGATTAGATAGCAACAACAAGGTCTCCTGAGATAACACTCTCATTTTACCACAGATTTCCAATAGTACCATTGGTACCACAAAATTTCTTCTTGCACATGAGATTTTAATTACGCATCAGGGTCATTTTTGGCAGTATGCAGTATTCAGTTTAACAAAAGATTGAAGTAAATAGAGGACCGAGAAATGCTCAGTGCTTGATACGAATTTTTTTTATCCAAATAGCTTTTGCAAAAGTCATTAAGTAGCTCACTAAAGATCAGGCATCCTTTTGACTTGATAAATGCTGTTGAGTACAGTACACCAGGAAAAGAGCTCTTACGATGGTACTCAAGGTAGTCTTTCTCCACTCATCGGACATCCAACCACTTCTTAATATAGCATTGAATAGCTTGGTAACCCATCCCACTCTAATCTCTCCAACACACATTCAAACATCAATAGGATACCATCTTGAACACAAGCTTTCCCAATTCTCATATTTTTCATGCCATCTTCCACTCTGTTGGCCTAATTTTATGTGTATCTAAATTTCTATCATACATAAATGTATGGTGATCTAAAGTATTGTTCTCGTAGTTGTGTTTAGTTGACCAAAATTGACCCTCCATCTCTTCTTAATCTCATAATCTCCAGTCAACACTTATTGAGAATCGTCTTTAATACGCTTCACCTTGTTTAAGTCGTTACTCTGTTTCTCTCTCAAGTAGTTCTAGTTTAGATATTTCTTTCTCCCTTTTTCATGTCCTAACTTTCGAAACAACCCATATATGGCGTCCCCTCAAGCTTTAACAATAGCTTTCTTAGCTTTCCTCTTGGCTCTCATATACTCTTCAAAGGCCTCTTCTGCTTTGGGCAACTTCCTAGAGCACTCTCTTGAAGCTCCAATTATTTTTCCCTCCCTTCATTCCCATGTGAAATATCCTTATAGTCGAGGTCCTATTCGTGTCAATAAATTATAATTGAAAAAGGCAATGCAATTTCACTCAATAATTATCTCCATATCTCACAATAAATGGTCTCACAAAATTATGCAAGTATATTCTTCGGATTGGTGTTGCCTCGTTAGTTGATAGGAACATGGGTGGCTCTAGAGAGACGTTAGTTTAGTGTTTGCTTTAGTCACCCACATTTTATTTTCCTTAGACAATATTGAAGATTGTAAATACACACAGAATTTATATTTATATATTCTTTTAGAACAAAACTATCTACTTCTTAACAAAATATTTTAGAACTTTAAATAAGCTACTCAAATTTTCATATTAATCGATTAAGTTTTTACAACAACATCCAAAATAATGTATTATAAACACATGGCTGACATCTTATCAACTTGACTTAATTTTTACTATTATAAATAATAATATTACTATGTCAAGTTAAAACTGGACAATGCCTACGAACACTTTTGATTTGCTGAGGAGCTGAGAGACAATTGGAAGAAGAAATTATGAGCGAGACTGGTGGAAACTAATTCCAACCACTATTTGGTGGACCTTATGGAAGAAAAGAAATGCAAGGTGTTTTCAAGGCAAAATCAACAACATCCAGAAGGATCAAAATGAAGTACATTAACTTTTTTTATTTTTGGTGTAAACAAACTATGGTGGGATATAGATTTATTAGTTGACTTCATAGGAAAATTGTTAAGTCTTGAGTTGTTTGTTTCTTTTTGCAATGCCCAATGAGGGTTGTAACTAACCATCTCATTATTTTTTGGATGATATTTTCTTGTGAATACAAAGTTACATTTATCAAAAAAAATAAAAATAAATTATGCATTTAAGAATGCTACACTAAAACAATAAGTATAAATAAATAGAAAAGACAATCCATATTTATTGTTATTGTTCATTTTCCCTGAATTTGATTATGTATTTTTCTTTTTCTACTAGCTTTGTATATGTGTTACTTACACTGGTATGATATTGTTGTGTAAATACTTAACACCTATTAATAAAGTTTGTTTTTACGTCACTAATTTTATTAAAACTCCTTAACACTGAAAAACAATTAAATAAAACTTGCTCATCGAAAAACAACCAAATAACTGCAATATTTTTTCTTTTACATAATCATTTTCATCCTTCTGACACCCTTAAGTTCCATAAAATAATCCATTCAGCAAGTAGAAGTTCTATATTTAATCTTGTATTATCAATAAAAGGAAGTTCTTACAAAATGCTTATAATTGTATCGTCAAAATAAATCCTTAAAAAGTTATATAAATAACAATAAGCATATCAAGATGAAGAAAAACAGAAAAGATGAAAAAGTTATTAGACATTATTCTCGAGACAAGTAGAATAGAATTATTACCAGTCTTACAGCTCCGTAATCTTGTGGAACAGAAAGCATTACTTCCTCATTCCAAATTGGATTCAAATTGCTCTTTACTACACTTGTTTGCACTTTCTGAACAAAAGAACCAGCTAAGAGACACATATAATCAACTTCTACTTGTTAGTTCTTCGACAATCTATGTATAAGTAAGAGTATGCATCATCAAAAGGTCTAATAATTATTTGCCAAGTAAAACAGGCAAAGATTTTTTCAAAATATAGAGACAACTTTCAACAAATTCTACCACAATTCAATCTTTTAATCAAATGACGAGAAAATGGCCAAATGCCCCCCTAATCTATTATTGGATTCCCAACTACACTTAAATATTATTTTTTTGACGACAACTACACTTAAACTTCACGATGGTCCTATCACCCCCTGAACTGTTTAAAATTGAAATTATTATATCCTTAAAAAGCCACAACCACATTTATGTTGATGGGTGAAACTCACGCATTTGACATGTGGAAATTCCATAAAAAAAAGTTTTTTTTCAATCTTTTCATTATTCTTTACTCTTTTCTTTTCTTTTTTCACCATCTCTGCAAACTCAAATATATTTTCACCTTTACTATAAACACCAAAAGTCTGCCAATCACCACAATCTCTCATACATTAATCAATTTAGTG